CCTTTCCCTTCTCTCCTTTATCCCTACCTTTTCTTACCTCTTATGTCTATCCCCCTTATCCTATCCCCTCCCTCTACCTTTCTCCTATCCCCCACCTCCTATACCTACCCCCTACCATAGCCCTACGCCTGTACCTCTCCCCATCCCTCACCCCCTCTATCCTTTCCCCCTATCCCAGTACCTCTCCCCCTACCCTCCCCATCCTTCAGCCCCCCCCCACACCTCCTCTATCCTTCCCCCCTACTTTACCCCTACCCGCTGTACCTCTTCCCCCTCCCCCTCCTCCCCAACCCCCCTCCTTCAGCCCCCCCCCCCCGCCCCTATTCTTCCTTCCCCTGTACCTCTCCCCCCATCCCCCCTTCTTCAGCCCCCCCCCCCCCACATCCTTCCTTGCTCCAACCTCTTCACGCACACAAGGAGGAGGTGGGCGTGGCCAGAAGAAATGGGCGTCTCCCAAGACATCTCAAGGCTACGGGAAGGAGAGGTGTTGGGGCGGAGGGGAGGGGGGAGGGGGGGGGAGGGGCGCAATCTTCACTTGGATTAAGATTCTGAATTGAAGACTCCGAGATTCAATAGATATACGGAGAAGTGTGTGTGTGTGGGGGGGGGGGTGAGGTGTATGTGTATCAGCGTGCATGTGTGTGAGTGTGTTTTGTTGTGTTGTGTTGGGCTGTGTGTGTGTGTGTGTGTGTGTGTGTGTGTGTGTGTGTGTGTGTGTGTGTGTGTGTGTGTGTGTGTGTGTGTGTGTGTGTGTGTGTGTGTGTGTGTGTGTGTGCGCCTGCCTGTGTGTGCTCTTGTGCGTGTGTGTGTTTGTGTTTACATCCTCCCTTTGTTTCTTTTGTCTTCCAAACACAAGCCAAACCCAACACAAACACGCCAAAGTGATCCACCTAATCCTTTATCCACTAAATTCTTCCATCCACATCCACAATCCTCAAAATTAGTCCCTTATCCCACATCCAACATCCACACATTGTCCACAGTTCCTTTATCCACAATATCACAATCCGCAACCCAGAGTCCCCGTATCCACTATCTACACCAAATCCATTCCCCAAAGCCACATCCACATCCCATATCCACATCCAAACTGTTCCTCCACTCCACATCCAAACCAACCCCCAAACCCACATCCGATACCCACACCCTAACCAGCCCCTAATATCCAAACCATTCCCCAAAGCCACATCCACACCCGATATCCACATCCTATATCCACCCCCCTCGCTAACGGCCCCCTCTCAACCCGAACCAAAAGACAAGAAAAAACTTATTGATCAGAGAGCCAGCCTAGTGACGTCACCGGACCCCCCCCCCCCCCCCCGACCTGAGACCCGTGACTGATATGCAAGTGGTTTCAAGCGAGTCACGTATTCCTGAGAGCGTTCTCTAGGAGAGTTCTCTAAGGGATATTTCCTTATCTATGTTTATAGGTTTGTCTGTTTGTTGTTTGTTTGTGTGTGTGTGTGTGGTTTGAAGTGAGTCACGTATTCGCAAGAGCGTTCTCTAGGAATGTTCTCTAAGAGGTATTTCATGTTTGTTTGTGTCTGTTTGTTATGTAGATTGAATTGTTTGTGTGTGTGGTTTCAAGGGAGTCTCGTATTCCTCAGGGCGTTCTCTAGGAAAGTTCTTTAAGAGGTATTTCATGTTTGATTGTTTGTTTCTGTTTGTTCTATGGACTGAATGGTGTGTGTGTGTGTGTGTGTGTGTGTGTGTGGTGTGTTTGTGTGTGTGTGTGTGTGTGTGTGTGTGTGTGTGTGTGTGTGTGTGTGTGTGTGTGTGTGTGTGTGTGTGTGTGGTGTGTGTGTGTGTGTGTTGACTAGCCTCAAAAACACACGAGTATGACAATGGTGTTTGGAATATGCTAGGATTAAGGCGAGGATATCCGAAAAAAATGGTCTGCAATACGTCACGTGATAATCAATACGTCATTTAAAAGCTTGGCCTAAAATACCAAACACGAATTCTCTTTTCTTTTACTTTCTTGAAAAGATATTGAATTAACAAACACTGATCTACACCTTTAGAACAATTAACGAACAGGAAAAACATGCATACAAAAAGTGGAGACGAAAATAAAATAAAAAAAAACACATAATACGATAAAGGAGACACGAGAAATACGATAAATACTAGGAATAGGACACCAACGAATAAAAATACATGGGTGGAATCGATTAAATGTCACAGCTATCACACACACATATAAATATATATCTCTAATAGACACCTTCACGTATTTACGCTCAATTTCCTCAGGTGGGGAAAATGGGTAGCGAAGGGGGGGGGGTTGAGGGGAATAAGGAGGAGAAACATGACAGAGGGGAGAGGGGGGGTAAGAATGGAAGAGGAAGAAGGGGAGTGGAGAAAGGAAAAGGAGAGAGGAGTAATATAGTAAGGGGAAATGACGGAGAGGAGAGGAAAGGAGAAGGAATAGAGAAGAAGACAGAAGTAAAAAGGGTAGAAAGAAGGGAAATGGGGAGGGGAAGAAGAAAAATAG